TACAACAGACCCTACACCTAGTTAACTATCTATAGTATAGAATCACGGAGGGCCAGAAGCCTTCCCTTTTGAAAATGACATGGTTATATTCCCACTGCTGCCAGCTGAGAGACAGCATGGGAATGGCTGGTCTGGGGTAAGATGCCTGCACCCAGATCCTGTCCCTTCCTTTTATTTCTCTCATAAGGTAGCTGCAAAGATTTTGTGAATTGATGCATGTGGATTGTCTGACTCATTGCTAGCATTGTCAGTAAATATTAGACATCATCACTAATATTGTTACACTAAGGACATTTTTTTTTTTTTTTTTGTCCAGAGTGGAAAGAACGAGCAGGGCCAATGACTTGTAAGAGAGATTGCGTGGAGACAAGTTGAAGTGTCAGATAACAGGCCTCTGTACATGTGAATGAGGTAGATAGATGCCTCAAATATGCATGCCCAGATCTTAGGCCTGCCAGCCGCGTTAAAGAGAAGCATCTTCAGAGTCCAAGGATGGGAAGGTGTTGAAATGTAGAATTTTAAATTTATACCAGTTTTACCAGGTTGCTCATTATATATTGTGTTTCATTATAAATGTAATTTATTTATAAAATCATTCTGCTATATTTTTGGCAATAGTTTTGTCTTCCCTGTTTTTGTTTTTTGTGCTTTTTGGGGTCTAATTTTCTATCATTTGAACTTTTTTCATTGTTGTAACATTACTAATTGGTTGCTGATCTCCATTGTTGAAAATTTCTCTCTCCTCACACTTTAGAGGAGTTTGCATTTATTTGCTTGATTATGGAATAATATTAGATTCCTCTTTGCACCGAAAGCTCTATCATTGCTATGACCTTGTATGCTTTCAATGCTGATTCCCAGCTTTGAATATGGGACTGACACATAGAAGATGCTAAATGAATGAATATACATCCCATGTATTCCACATTAATATTATTATAATTATTCTGTGTTAACATTTATATGGTGAGGTGCCTTAGCAATATTTTCCATTTTGTCTCTTAGCAATCTAGAATTGATGTCATTTCATCCTACATTTTTCTTTGCTTCTCAGAAAATCCCTTTCCTATATGGTTTGGATTAGATTCTGCCAATAAGGCAAACTTCCACAAAATTTAGGAGAAATGAAAGAAAGTCAGGGCAGCAGAAGCTCCATTGCTGTAGGCTGTTGCAACGGTCATCAAGGACCAACCTGACACCCCTCCCGAGCCTTCCAGTGGTTTTATAAATAGTCTCATTATTCTGGTAGGAAAGTCCTTTCCACCAGGTTTTATAAATAGTGGTTTTATAAATAGTCTCCCTCCAATTCTGGTAGGAAAGTCCTTTCCACCAGGAATATCCAGAATGGTTTCTCTTTTCCTGACAAATCTGAACTAATACAATTATTTTGGGGAATCTTTATTTCACTAAAGAAATACATTGAAGATATATTTTTTAAGGAATTGAAAAGCTTAAAATTCAAATTATTGTCTAATATTTTCAGAACTACATGTTGTCTAAACTCTATAAGCAGTATTTTGATTTAATATCAATTATCCATTTTTTACTTTCTTCTAAATATTGAATTATTTTGAGTATTTATTTAGTAATTGTACCTTTTCCTTTTTTAACTTTGATATTATAGTTTATTAAAATCTAATAATGAATACACAGTTTAGAAATCTAAACACCCTGGTTGGGTAGGTCAACATTGGTTAGAGCATGGTCCTAATATGCTAAAGTTGTGGGTTTGATCCCCTGTCAGGGCACATGCAAGAATTAACCAAGGAATGCATACTAGTAAATGAGTGGAACAAAAAAACTTTAGATCCATTCAGACAATTTGATCTTTAAAAAAAAAAAAAGCACATAAGAAATCACAGTACTGAGAGTTTTTGATTTTGGTAGTAGAAGTCTACTAGTCATTAGGATCTGAATAGTTAATCCCTAAAGTTATTTTGTATGGATTGATTTACAGTTATCTCGTAGGAGCAATTTTAGTTTTCGTTTAAAATCTATCATTTGCCATTGCTCTTCTTGTTTGCTACAAATCTACCGCATGGTGCAGATAATGTTTCAAAAAGCTCTGGTCATTTATTTAGAAAGATGATTGAGATAGCAAAAAAAGGAATGTTTTGTTTTTCCATGAGTATACGTGTTCAAATCTAACAGAAGGCGCTGCATTGCATGAAGTTTTATTTTCACTTCCTTCTGAATCTTACGTGTGTGCTTTGTAACATGGTTGTGTACTTATTTTTTTGCAGAAGATGGTTCCCTGGATCTGGAGGGTGCCATGTTATGCTGTGATTCTTATTAATCTTTTGAAGAAAGAATATATTTGATCTATTGCCTGTTTTACTTAAACAAAACTCAAAGCCAACCAAACACTAAAAATCACACTTGTAAACAGTTTGTATTAATTTTGCTAAACTTCTTATAGTCTTAACTTTTTTTAGGTGTTTCTCTTGAATCTTGTATGTATATGAGTAATTCTTCTGCAAATAATGAGACTATTTAACTTTTTCATTTTTTTTTTTAGACTTTACTATATTAGGAAAGGTCTCCAGGTCTATACTCAATAGCTACAGTGATTTAGAAACATTTTGACTCACACCCAAATTAAAGAAAATGTATCTAAAATTTTCAGTACACTGTTATTACAAGCAAACATTTTTCTTAACTCCAAAAAAATCTGATCATATGTATATATTTTGTAATTTTATAAGTGATAATAGACAAAAAATAGAATATTTATAATAATAAAAGTGTAATATGCAAATTAGACCGGATATCCTTCTGGAAGCCTGGGTCCCGGGTGCCGGAGGGAAGCCGATGCCAAGCCGATGCCAAGCCGGTGCTGGCAGCCGGGGGGAAGGAAGGCCTACTCTTGCATGAATTTTTTGCATTGGGCCTTTAGTTTTATATATAAAATTAAATAACAGAATATAGCAAAATATGAAGAGAAAGCTAAAGCAAACTCTTTATGGATGCTCTCTAAAGTAATTTTCACATCTAAAGGATAACCCTGTGTAACAAGCATTTGTTGAGCAAGTCCTAGAAAATGGGTGGTTCTGAGTTATGATGAATCCTATTGCTCTGAGAAGCTGTCCTCAGCTATGGCCCTGGACAAGGCACCTCATGCCGTTGTACCATAGTTTCTTATCTATAAAATCAGGATAATGGCACATATTGCTCAGAATTGTAGTTTGATTAAAATAAAAAATTTGTTATGTACCAAACAAAATTTTGGGCATTTATGGTGATTCAAAATCCCCTAATTCCTATCTGGTGTGAATAGAATTAGTAAATTAAATTTGATCTCGCCCTATCTGGTTTGGCTCAGTGGATAGAGCATCGGCCTGTGGAATGAGGGGTCCTGGGTTCGATTCTGGTCAAGGGCACATGTGGGGGTTGCGGGCTCGATCCCCAGTGGGGGGCGTGCAGGAGGCAGCCAATCAATGATTCTCTCTCATCACTGATGTTTCTATCTCTCTCTCCCTCTCCCTTACTCTCTGAGATCAATAAACATATATTTAAAGCAAACAAAAAAAGTTTAAATTTGATCTCTATCCTTAGCAAAATTAAAGAAACAAAAAACATTAAAATATTTTTGTGCATAAGATACACAGAAAGCATGAAAGTAGTTTAGTATTTCACCCATTTCATCAGTGCACACACGTTATTAAAGTAGAGCAGATGTGTTGTTTTTTTCTCGAGTTACTACCAGTTTGTACATTGTATTTATTTTTTAGTGATTAAGTTAGGTTAAGTATACTAGTAACTTACACCTCCAGGCTCAATAATTTTAACCTTAACAATTATACCAATAAACACTTTTCTAATTTCCCATCTAAGGTTCTGACACAGCGGCACCTTCTTTCCTTAGTTCCTGCATTTACCCACCACGTGGCACCATCTTCTCTGAAATCACAGGGGCATAGAAATGATTGCTGCGCTGTGGAAGGGGCCATGCATGATTAGTAGACTCCATTCTAATGCTTATGTTGATGTTAAACCAAAAAAAAGCCTATGCTCTTACTATTAAATTGTATTCACCTTGCTTCATCTGCTGAAGGTTAAGCATTGTATTAAGTATTACCTTTTTATTTAACTCCTTGTAAAAAGATAATTGCTAATTTGAAGCAATGGCAAAGACAGTAACATAATGTTAGAAAAAAGAAAAAAGGTTGATAGTGTCTCAAAACAAGCTTTCCATCTTATGGCTTGTGTACAAATGTTGCTCATGAAAATGACAGCCAAGGTCCTTTGCCTGGTCTCTTGTAACACTGTCTCTGTTCATTCACTCATAAAATTCTCACTCTCCATAGGTGGGTCCCGAGAGTACACTGATGAATTAATTGATGCAATTCACAACACCAATTGAATTGGACAGAAGTTCTGGCTTCCTTCCTGTTAGATTCAGAGACTGTGACTTTTAGACATAAACACTAAAGTATCTTAATAGTGACACCATATGTTGATGGAGGGAGGCAGCTTTCCTGGTAGAAGGAATAGCGTGTACTCTGCTGGAGTCGCCCCTCAGACAATCAAGTGGTGAATAGTAGAGCACACATGAGAACAAAAAGCTTTGCAGAGGCATCTCCATTTAGTGAATGAAATTAATGATTTGATGCTATATTTAAAAATGTAAATGGCCTCAATGTTCAACTTGAAGATGTGAGGGCATAGCTTAGGAAAAATGAAAATACTGAAAATAATCCATGATAACCACTTGATAATATTTTGGGCATTAAATATGCACATATACAACTATCACCGAAATTTTAATTTTTCAAGTGATAACTCTTTAACCTAATACAACTGATCCTTGAGGGTAAATTTTAGGAGGTATATCTGTTTGTGTGGGGGAAAGGCATAAGAGAAAGGATGCATTTTGAAATATTCAGGAAATTGTATTTTGCAGAGGGACACACTATGAAAGCCAAGTCACTGGTGCAGTGAATAATTTGGGCAGATATGTCTTGGACAGCTAGTCATGATTAAATAACTGTTCAAGAGAGCAAAGTTCATCATAAAGTTCCACAGGCCTAATTTAGATCTAGCTTTC